ACTTTCAATACTAGCTCTATAATTATTAATGTTTCTATTTGAATTCTAGGTGATACACAGCAATGTTGCTATATATCTATCTTTTATTTTTCCTTATTCATTAATATGTTCCAAACCCCAAGTTACATCAATATCCTATTCTAATCCTGTAGCTCTCATGAAATCCTTCCAAGTATGGGACTTATAAACATAACTATTTCATCTTAATAAAGGTTGTGATAGTGGTGCCAAGGACACCAGGTGTTTCCCGGGCCCCCCAAAAGCCCAAGATACAGTGACAGTTAGAAAAATAATAGCAAGTAAAGCATGCCAAGTACACTGCATGTTTCTCAACACAACCAACTCCAAGAGGCAACCTTCCTTGAAGTTCCAGCCTCAACCCACGGAGGATCTCACGTGGGCTCCATTGGAGATGGCGTGACAGTCGCACACTATTTCAGAGGCTGGTGTGGTACTTTTCTTATGTGATCTGTTTTACTCCTTCTGGTAATTATGGTTGTCAGTGGTAGATGACCCTCCTAGATGGAGTTTATGACATCCTTTGACTTGATTTATGATGTCTTGCTTTGTTATTTTACTGTTCCTTCCTAGTTTGTACATGGTTAACATCTGGGGAACCCTTCCTTGTTTGATGTCAGTGTAAGCTCAAGATATTTGTCTGTTGATTCTGAAGTTTACTGAGTTCATTTCAGGGATGGTGTGAGGCAACCCTGTATTTTCATCTGCTTAAAATGGCCAATCTCTGAGACTTGTTGAGAGTCCCCATTTTCCTGCTGTTTTGAAATGTCACCCCTGGCATCTGCTCAGCATTCTCATGTATGCACCGAAGTCTGACCTTGCTAGACTCTTCCTTCCATTGGCCTTTATGTCTCCAAGCATACAGTTCATGCTGTTGCCTAAGCTTGATCTGAGGGGAACATTTACTCTTTGCTTCTGTTCTCTTCCCAACACTCTGCTGTCAATTACAGATGAAGCAGCTAGGGTTAAAGTGTACCCTCTCCCACTATGCCTTGCAGAAAGGTAGAACTGAGTTTAGAACTTAGCTCAGTCTGGTAGTCCAACCTCAGTCCTGCTCTGTGACTGAGCTGACTCAAGAACTTGGGGCACAGCGAAGTTTCTGAGCGGCTGGGGCATCTTTGCTCTATGCCTGCATATAGCTGGCAATAGCCACCACTTTGGTTGCTGGAAAAAGACAGCAATACAAAGGACAACTCCGGTCTTCTAGGAGCTTCCAGAACCTTCCTAAACCTCTGTATATATGTAAATTCACATATGACAGTGTGATAAACCTCCTCTTAACCTTTATTTTCTTTATTTGTTCCAAAGTTAAAGGGAAAAATACAGAGGGGAAGAAGAAAAGCCTGAAGAAAGGAAAGAAATTTCAAGTAGAAGAGGAAACAGAGTCTAAACTGGCAACCAGTCATTGGAAGCCGTGCACCTTCTCCATCCAGCTGTCCATCATGCCCCTACTTGCTGGTAGCTAACGTTATTAGACTGCTCATGTGGAGACCAAGACCTTGCTCTGTACATCATTTCATCCTCACTGCCATCTTAGGAATGTGGGAGTGATTATCTTGACTATATAGAGAAAGAGGCATGCTTGGGGGGTTAGGTACATTGCCCAAGATTACACAGTTTGTAAGTGCAGAGACAGGATTTCTACCCAGGTGTTTGATTCCAAAGTCTTCAGAGCCTGTGAAAACATGTCATGCTTTTGTTTGCTAAATAAGGTGCTTCTTTTAAAATACAGCTTAACAATTTTTATTTTATTTTATGTATATGAGGAGTGTTTTGCTGCATGTATGTAGGTGCACTTACAACATGTGGGTGCTGGGAACTGAACCTGGGTCCTCTGCAAGAACAACAAGTGCTCTTAACCATTGACCCATATCTCCAGACCTCTTAATACAGTTTTTATTTGAAAATTTTGTACTTGCATACGATGTGTTTTGATTAAGTTCCCCCCTCCCCATTCCCTACACTCCAATTCCTCCCCTATCTTCCCACCATGATTCCATCCAAATTTCATGGTTTTTTCCTCACTGAGTCAGCACAGCACCACCAGTACATGTATGGTATGTGTATGTCTATTGGCACATGGGTAGCCTCTCAAGTGCTGTATCCTTGAAGAAAGCTGACTCCCCCTCTTCCAGCCTGTCATTTGCTAATAGCTCCTTGGCTAAGGGTGAGACTTCCTGACCACCTCCTTACTCTATGCTGGGATTTTTTTCTGGCTTGATCTTGCATAGATCTTGCACATATTGTCACAATTATTGTCAGCTCATATGTGCATTTGCCCTGTTGTGTCCTGAAAACACGGTTTAATTGTAGTCATCCACTCCCTCTGGCTCTTATAATCTTTTTGTCCCATTTTCCATGATGATCACCAATCTTTGGGAGGAAGAGGTGTGATGTAGATGTCCCATTTAGGACTCAGCACTACACAGCCTCTTATTCTCTGGATGTCGACCAGTTGTGGGTCTCTGTTAATTGGCATTGCCTGCTAAAAGAAGCTTTTCTGATGAGGGTTGAGAGATGCAGTAATCTACAGGTATAACAATATGTGATTATGTGTCAGCTTAATACTGTGTCTATTTAGCAGAATAATAGTAGTAAGTTCTCACCTAAGGCCTCTGACCTATGTAGGCTCTGATAATGGTGCCAGGAATGAGTTCCATCTTGTGGAGCAGGCCCTAATTAATCAGAAAGCGGTTGGTTACTCCCATAACATTCATATCATTAATGTACCAGTGGGTATATCCTGCCAGGCCAGTTGTTATGGTAGTTCACGGTTCATAGCTGGGCAAGACTGATAATTATTATTTTATTTTATTTTATTTTATCTTAATTAAAATATTTTATGTATTATTTTTATTTTATGTGTATGAGTATATCGCCTGCAAGTATGTAAGTGCACCCGTGCCATGATGCTAATGGAATCAGAAGAGAGCATTGGATTCCATTGACACTGGAGTTATGGATGTTTTTTAGTTGCCATATAGGTGCTGGGAATTGAACCTGGGTCCTTTGCAAGAGCAGCCAGTGCTCTTAAGTGCTGAGACATCTTTCTAACAAGATGATCATTTTTCTCCTCTGGTAGTATGCATGGCAGTCTCCAGCACTGTGAAAGCTGGCCAGTAGGAATGAAGCTTCCAGGGAGCTTGATTTTTCCATGTTCCATGACTCAAGTATTCAGTGTCCTCAACAATAGAATCTCACCACCAAGTTCTGGAGAATAATCAAGAGCAATGGCAACAGACTGTAATGTTTAGGGGTCTATGGGACCCCACTGACCAACAACTCCAAAAGAGGTCACCCATGTCTTGTACTGGGCCTTTTATTTGCTAACCTATGGTGTCTAGGAGGGGCATTATCTATCTACTATAGGATAGCTCCATTTAAACTCTTTAGATATGTATTTTAGGAAGCTAAGTACAATATTAAATTTCTCAAAGATCCTTTTTTTTTTTTTTTTTTTTTTTTTGAGACAGGGTCTTCCTGTAGCCTCAGCAGATCAAGCTGGCCTTGAACTCACAGATCCACCTGCCTCTGTCTCCCAAGTGCTGGGATTATAGGCATGTGCCACCACTCCTGGTTTCTTAAAGGTCTTCAGTGTTTAGTGTTATTTCCCATTCCCCCTTCATAGCAGCTGCACTCCATCTCCCCTCCCTTGAAAACCCCCATAGTCCCCTAGTTTTCCTGACCTCCATGGGCACTATAATTTAGATACACATATCCAAAGATTCAAAGCTAGCATCCACATATAAGAGAGAACATGTAATGTTTGTCTCTCTGTGTCTGGGTTACCTTGCTCAGAAAGATTATTTCCAGCTCTATTTGCCTGCAAGTTTCATTTTTCTTGGAAGTTGAATGATATTCCATCGTGTAAGTGTATTTTCATTATTTATTCATCAGTTGATAGATATCTAGGCTGTTTCCACTCCCTGGCTACTGTGACTAGCACAGCAATAAACACAGATGAGCAAGTATCTCTGTAGTATGATGTATAGACTCCTTTGGATATATGCCCAAGAGTGGTAGCTCTATGGTAGATCATATGGTAGACCTATTTCTAGCTTTTGAGGGCCCCCTACACTGATTTCCATAGGGGCTGCACCAGTTTGGACTCCTACTGACAGTGAATAAGTTCTCCTTTCTGTACATTCATGCCAGCATTTTGTCAATTTTGTTTTTTAGAGCTTAGACATTCTGACTGGGGTGAGATGAAAACTCAAAAGTAATTTTAATTTGCATTTTCCTGATGGATAAGAATGTTGAATATTAAAACAAATTTCTCAGCCCTTTGTTCTCTTTTTGAGAATGCTCTGTTCATAAAGTTCCATGCCCCAATTTTAAATTGGGTTATTTTCTTGTTGTTTAGTTTTTTGAGTTCTTTGTATATTTTAGATATTATGCCCCTGTCAGATGTTTAGCTGGTAAACATTTTTCCTATTCTATAGACTGCCTCTTCATACAACTGATGGTGTCTTTTTCTATACAGAAGCTTTTTAGTTTCATGAGGTTACATTTATCAGTTGTTGATCTGAATGCCTGTGCTATTGGGGTCCTGTTCAGTCCTTTCCTGTGTCAATAAGTTGAAGAGTATTCCCTATATTCCCTATTTTACTTCTGATAGATTCAGGGTATCAAGTCTTATGTTGAGGTCTTTGATCCATTTGGTGTTGAGGTGTTTTTTTTTTGTTTTTTTTTTTTTTTTTTGAGACAGGGTCTCCTTGGAGCCCCAGCTAGCCTTGAACTCACAGAGATCCGCCTGCCTTTGCCTCCCCAGTGCTAGGATTAAACGTATGTGCTCCCACACCTAGCCTGATGTTGAGTTTTGTGCAGGGTGAGAGACAGAGATCTAATTTCATTCTTCTACATGCAGCTATCCAGTTTGACCAGAACCATTTGCAGAAAATGTTATCTTTTTTCCAATGTGTATTTTTATCTGCTTTGTCAAAAATCAGGTGACTGTAGAAAGAACTTATATCTGGGTCCTCAATTCTATTCCATTGATCAGTGCATCTATTTTTATACCAATACCATGCTGTTTTTATTACTATGATTCTGCAGTATAACCTGAAATTAGGGAAGGTGATGCTTCCAGCAGAGTTTTTATTGTTCAGGATTGTTTTGGCTATTCTGGGTTTTTTGTATTTTCATACAAAATTTAAGATCTTTTTTTTTTTTCCATTTCTGTGAAGAATTACATTGGAATTTTGATGGGGATTGTGTTGAATCTGTAGATTGCTTTTGGTTAGTCTGGCCGTTTTCAAATATTAATCCTACCAATCCATGAACATGGAAAGTCTTTTCATCTTCTGGCATCTTCTTTAATTTCTTATTCAGTGTCTTAAAATTTTCATTATATATATGTCTTTCACTTCCTTGTTCAGAGTTATTCTGAGATATTTCATTTTTGAGGCTATTGTGAATGGGATTGTTTCTCTGTTTTCTTTTTCTTGTTGTTGGTATATAGGAATTCCACTAATTTTTGTGTGTTAATTTTGCATCCTGCTACTTTGCTGGATATGTTTATCAGCTGTAGGAATCTTTGGGTGAAGTCTTGGGGTCTTTTACATGTAGAATCATACCATCTGACAAAAAGGATACTTTGACTTCTCCCTTTCCTGCTTGTATCCCCTCGATCACCTTCACTTATCTTATTGTTCTAGCTAAGACTTCAAGCACTATATTAAACAGGAGTGGAGAGAGTAAACATCTTTGTCTTGTTCCTGATTTTAATGGAAATGCTTTGAATTTTTCTCCATTTAGCATGATATTGGCTGTGGGCTTGTTGTAATATTAAGGTGCTGCTTTTAATGAACATTTTTTTTTCTACAAGTTTCTTTCAAAACCTATGTAAAAGGAATAAAGGGAGGGAAGCAGTTTTATGGGCCATTTATGCCATCTTCCTTTATATCACATTGTTTACCTCTTATGAGAGGTTTGCATCCTCCCAGTGAGCTTGGGGTAGTGCTGGGGGGAGGGGTTTTTCATCACCACCATTTTTTCAGTGAGGAATAAATAAAAAGTCTATCCAGCCAGGCATGGTGGCACACACCTTTAGTCCCAGCACTTGGGAGGCAGAGGCAGGCGGATCACTGTGACTTTGAGGCCAGCCTGGTCTATATATCGAATCTAGGCAGGCTATGGCTACAGGGAGACCCTGTCTCAAAAAGACAAAAAAAAAAAAAAAAAAAAAAAGCCTATCCAGGAGCTAGAGAGATGGCTCAGTGGTTAAGAGCATTGGCTGCTCTTGCAGAGGACCCAGGTTCAATTCCCAGCACCCACATGGTGGCTAACAATCATCCTTAACTCCAGTTTCAGGGGATCTGATGCTCTCTTCTGACCTCCTTGGGCATTGCACAACATGGGTGCACTTACACACATGCAGGCAATACACTCATACACATAAAAATAAAAATAAGAAATATAATATTAAAGAAAGCCTAGCCAATACATAAAGGTTGTATCAGAATAAGGATTTGATTGCTTTGCCTTGTAAAATTTTCTATATTTTACAAACTCTGCCTTCTGTCTTCTGGTAAATAATGAACAGATATTTATTATATTCATATAATTTGGTGCAATATCAGAATAAATTTTAGATAAAATTATGTGATTTTTTTAAAAAGAAAGAGTAAGATGGGGGGGTGATCGGTGATTTTTTTTTTTTTTTTCTATTTAGAGGCAACCTAGTTAAAAATCTTAAAAACTTTTTCCAGCTTTTGATTATCAGGCTGAGTGTGTGCCCTCTACTGGTTGTTCTATAGAGGTACAGGCTCTGGTCTGAGGTGGAACCAACTTACACAATACAGAGGTGAAATCTGTCAGGCCAAAGTGTCACAGGAGATTGTGTGTGAACTGCTCAGTGCAGGACTTGCACACAGAGGGACTCTGAGTGAATGGTGGGGAGGTGGCAGCTAGGCACTGAGAGGACAGATATGGGATGCTGGAGGTTCAAGGAATGCAGAGATGAACCCCAACCCTTACAGCAACTGTATGTGGTGGTCAATGAGAATGGTCTTGACTCAGCCAGCTTTCTCTATAACGTCATAGCTTGAGATTATCCATTCCAAAACTTGTATTATTGTTTATGGTAAACATCTTCCATCTCAAGTTAGGGCATAGATTTTTCTATTCCTTCATAAGATATATCAGTTGACTTGTATCCCAGTGGGACTTTTGGAAGATCTGGAGCCAGGGAGTAAACACTTTCATTGAAGGAGAGGGCTAGAGTGTATAGAGGGCTAGAGTGAGTGATCAGTCTGAGTGGATGCTGGCTCTATAATGTAAGAGCTAAGAGACCTTTGATGATTACTTAATATGTCTGGAGCTCAGTTATCCTTCTGTAAAGTAGAAATGACAGTAACCCCAGAAGGTTGTTTTAAGATCCAACAACATTAGTGCCTGTTTAGGACAGACACTTGTAAGAGCTCAGACATTGCACCCCTCTTTCCTTCACTTAGCAACAGGGCGCCTATCCTGGGGGCATTGTATTTCATGGGGACAACTTGGTAGGGGTGGAAACATCTTTGGTAATTACAACCGGGAGTGGGGTACTACTGGCACTCAGAGGGATGCTGCTGCATGTCTTGTAGTGTGCAGGGGTGGTGGTGGTGTAATATATGCCATACGTGCTTCTACTGCAGTGTGCTAGCTATCTTCTCTATAGATACCTGTGCCTTTTCTTGGCCACCATAATTAAAGCAATGCCTGTGCCTGAGCTCCCAGTGTACACATGAATGTCACTTGCTTTTACTAGTGTTTTGTTCTGATTTAGCTGCCTTTTGCAGCTTGACCACTAGTGCAGTCTACAGTGAAGGTCAGACCCCATGTCTGGAGCCAAGTAGCAGCCCATGGACACATGGCCACCGTGCACTTGAAATGTGGCCAGTGTTGTGAAGGAATTGTACTATAATTTTATTTAAACTGTAACAGCCCCACATGGACAGGAGCCACTATAATGGGGGTGCAGGTCTAGAGCAGGGGCTGTTATGATCACCTGCCTGTGTGAAAGCTACCCAGTTGTCTCTGATTATGTGAATGGCACCTACACAGCAATGCTCCTTATAGTTCCCAGGATGTTAGCAAATATTTACTCCATCATAAGATGATCAACATAAAAGCACAAAAATTCAGGCCCCTTAGAGAGTTGATTATATTTCTGTTTGAGAAATTGGCATATAATATTGTAGCTGTGGACAGTTCCCATTTTTTCCCCCCAGTTCTGAGGATGGATCCCATGGCCTTGGGTATGCGAGGCAAGCACTCTATCACTGGGTTATATCCCGGTCTTTGATTTTTGGAAAATGAGTCTTGTTCTGTAGCCTAGACTGGCCTGGAACTTGAGATCCTCCTGCTTGATCCTCTTGAGTGCTGGGGTCACAAGCATGTGCCATCATGCTCACTGTCCCAGCCCTTAAAAAAGTTTTCTTGGGATTATGACTTTATCATCAGTTCTTCTCTGATGAGAACCTGCTTCTGACTGTCATGGGTAAAGCGCTAGTCCTGTGTGTGTTTCCTCAGGATGGCAAACGGTCAACATTCGTGGCAGTGAGAAGTCTGCCAACATTTTAGATTGCTTTTTGACTTTCAAAACAGAAGTTCCTATCATGACTGAAGAGCAAAAGCAAGACTTGAACCCCCTGACCATAAGGATCAAATGTGCCTCCTGCCTTCCATCTCAGCCTGTTGCCATTCATGACCTGGAGGTAAGAATGAACCCCTGCTCTCCCCATTAAGACTGCCTCCTTATCCTACCCAGTGACTGGTTTTATCCCTAATCCTCCCAGATGCTCAATGTGAAAAATGTGACTATCACCCACATTTTATCATTTAGAATCCTATAGAGAACGTTAAAGAGATTAGGTTCCCAAGAGGCGCCACTAAACCTGAGGCTTCTGGCTAATCCTTAAGTGCTACAAATGGAGATCACGGACCTGTTCAGAAATGTAGGCTTCCCAATCACAGCAGCAGCACCCAGCTGGATACTTACTGCTGGGACCAACCAGGCTAAGTGCTTTCCTTTCTTTGGTTGAATCATTGTTTTTAGGACTGTTTCTCTCTTCCTGTATTTGCTTTTTGGTTTTCCTGGAACACATCCTTCAGTATGTATCACCACCCTTGCGTATGTCTGAAAATATCCTTATTCCACTCAAACAACCACCACTCCTCATGCCCTTCCATCTCTAACCATCAATTTGTTTTCCATTTCTATAATTTTGCCAACTTTAGAATGTTCTGGATTAAATTGTGTTTCCCCTCAAAAAATATGCTGAACTCCTAACCCCTAGTACCTTCTAATGTGACCTTTTTTGCAAAGAGGGGCCTTACAGAGGAAATTGAGTTAAAATGAGGAGATAATTAGAAATATGAAAGCAAGCAGGATTCTCTCCCTACTCTTCTGCAGATAAGCATAGAGAACTGTGTGCTTGAGCACTGGTGTCTCACTGTATCCGTTGACTTTTTTTTCTTTTCCAGAATGCCATGCCTGGAATTATATAGTATATGGTCTTCAGAGCCCTCTTTCATTTAGCAATATGCACTCAAATTTCCTCCATGTCTTCTCATAGCTTGACAGCTCATTTTTGCTTAGTGTCTAAGGAGTCAGCTTTTGACATGTTATTAAAGATTCTTTGTTTAAAAAATGTTGCCTTCCTCTGATTCTACTTGTAACTGTCTTTTGTAACACCTACGTATATGCTAGCTCTTAATTCTTCATTTCTATACCTTGTTTTTAAAAAATAAACACAGGCAATCTTATCAGCTCTATGTTCTATTTCACTAGTTCTTTCTTTAACTTTTCCTAATTTGGTGTCTTCCATTCAAAAATTTTTTTGAGTGGAATACATAGAAATGTGTGTGTGTGTGTGTGTGTGTGTGTGTGTTCTTGGGATGAAACTCAGAGCCTTTTACATGCTTGGCAAGCACTCTGCCACTGAGCTACCTCTTCAGCTCCAGATAAAATAAGTTTTTTTGATTTATTTATCTTTTATGTATATGAGTGTTTTGCCTGCATGTATGTAAGTGAACCTGTGTATGCAATGCCTGCGGGGCCAGAAGAGGGCTTTGGATCCCCTGGAGCTGGAGTTAACAGATGGTTGTTAGATACCATGTGGGTTCTGGAAACTGAAACTGAGTTCCCTGTAAGCAAGGCCAGTGCTTTTAACTGCTGAGCCATCGCTCCAGCCCCCAGATTAAAAATTATAAACATTTTCACTGAAATATAACACTAAAACATTACAAGTCTTTAAAAAATATTTTATTTTTTAAGATTTTATGTGTATGAGTTTATTGCCTGCATGTAGGTAAGTGCACCCATGTTGTGCAATGCCCACAGAGGACAGAAGAGGCCATCGGGTGCCCTGGAACTGGAGTTATGGACAATTGTTAGCTGCTATGTGGGTGCTGGGATTCAAACCCAGGTCTTCTTCAAGAAAAACCAGTGTTCTTAACCACTGAACCATCTCTCCAGCCCCACAGGTCTTTTTATACCAGTTGAAATGCTTAACCCCTCCCTCATATTACCACTTTGTAGTTACTACCAAATTCCTGGAAAAGACAGATTCTTTCTTCATCCCTATAACTTGCCTTTTTTAGAATGTCTTATAGGTGAAACTACACACCAACCTTTTAGAGCATGCCTGCTAGAAATGAATTATCTTAGTTTTTTTTTCCCATGAAAAAGTATCTATTTTACCTTCATCCCTGAGGTATATATTCACTGGATTTAGGATTTTAAATGGATTATTCTCTTCTTTCAATACTTTACCCTTTTTCTTGCCTTCCACAGTTCCTGATGAAAACTGCAGTCAGTAGAGATGCTCTTCTCCTGACATGTCATTTCCTTGCTGCTTTTAAGATGAAACAGGGTCTCCCTGTGGCTGCAGCTGACCCAGAACTCACTGTGTAGCCCAGGCTGCCTTCAATATCACGGAGATCCACCTGCTTCTGCCTCCTAAGTGCTGGGATTAAAGGCATGCACAACCATAGCTGACTCTTCCAATACTTTTTAAATGCCCTTACTTCTCTTCACTTTCTGGGACTCTGATGATGCAGACAATGATGTTATTGCAGTTGTCTCTCAGATTTCCAGTACCGTTTCCTTTTCCTTTGCAGTCTTTCAAGTCTGTATACGGACTGTACACTTCCATAGTTCTCTGTTCAAGTTCATCTCTTCTTTGTTCTGTAATTTCCATTTTGTTTTTAGGATCATCAAGTGAATTTTTTCACATTTTGATTAAATCATTTTATTTCTGGGAAAGCTAGATTGGTTATCTTATATACAGAGGTTTTGTTTAAGCAAACTTAGAAATTGGACAAACATTTCTACAGGAAACAAGGACAGGATCTTAGGATTTTTCTTTGGAGAACACCAAATTATCAGCTCGCTAGCTCCATTCCATCTACTCTTTCTCTGCGCCTAGTCAAAATAGAAAAGAACATTGTGAGAACTTGCAGTGTTTACTTCATGGTCAAGGCAGTGAGTTCAGAGCTCCATTCTTCTGTGGATGTGTCTGAACTGTCACCTCAGTCACAATCTAGCATAGCTGCTTTAGTCATCAAGGTGCCTGAGTGAGAAGAAAGGGCTGAATGAATGGAACTCAACTTTACCTCCACACAAACTAGCAGTGTACACCCACCCAATGCTGGGTGGTAGCACTACCTTTCTATATGGATGCCTCATAACAAAAGATTATTTCTATTGGCAAATCTTAAGAATAATTTTTTTAAAATGTTTTTTCTTGAGCTTTTGTATACTTCAAAGAACAGTTCCTAATCAAATTTAGACCCTCTCCTCAATCCATGGCCCCACACTCTGCCCCCCCCTGCAGTATCTCATGCATTCTACCATACATGCCAAGACCCATCCAGTACATTTGTACCCAGATGTCCCTTGGTGCACACTCAACCCCTGGAGTCTAGTGGGCCTATCCAGAGTTCATAAGTGAGGTCTATTCTCCCTCACCCAGCAACAATCAGTCTCCAACAGTTCCCAGGTTAGGACTGGCCCACTTCCCATTTCCCTTCTCCACTCTGGGCCCTCGTTTGATTGAGTTGGCCTGGGTCTTGTGCTCAATACCACCATTGCTGCAACTTCACATGTGTAAGCTTCCAGTGGCCTGAAAGCCTCTGTTTCCCTATGTTCATGAGCCACCCCTGGCTCTTACAGTCTTTCTCTCCTTCTTCCACAATGGCCCCTGAGTCCTGGGTGGGTGAGGTTTAATATAGGAGTCCTATCTGGGACACATACTCTGCAGTCTCTTATTCTCTAAAACTTGGCCTGTGGTGGTCTTCTGTGTGCATTGCACTCTGTTGTATAAGAACGTTTCACTGGTGAGAGTTGAGGGATCCACTGTTTTTCTTTCTACCCCCTGTTCTGCTATGTTCCACAAGTCTTAGGTGTAGAGGTTCCACTGTAGATATGTCACCTAGGACTGGGCATCTCTCAGATGTATATTGTCTGTGTGTGACCAGTTGTGGACTTTGCCTCCATCTGTTGCAAAAAGAATCTTCGTTGATAAGTGGTGTGTTGGATAGCTTTAGTTGTCAACTTGACACACCTGGGTAGAGGGAGCCTCTATTGGGGAATTTCCTCCATTGGACTGGCTGGTGGCCATATCTGTGGGGAATTTTCTTGATTGTTGAGTGATGTGGGAGTGCCCAGCCCACTGTGGGTGGTGCTATCCATGGGCAGGCAGTCCTGTATTGTATAAGAAAGCAGGTTGAGCGTGGGCCAGGGGAGTAAGCTAGTAAATAGTGTTCCTCCATGGAACCTCTAGGTTCCTGCCCTGAGTTCCTACCTTGGGCTCCCTCAGTGATGAACTGTAACCTGAGAGATGTAAGTCAAGTAAATCCTTTCCTCCCCAAGGTGATATTGGTCAGAGTGTTTTGTCACAGCAATCGAAAGAAAACTAGAACAAGTGGTGTAGGTATACTTGTCTGTAAATATGAGGATCCATATTTAGTGTATGGTAAGAAATTTCATTTATCTAGAGATATGACAGAGATAGGTTTTCTCTAGGATTTATGACCTCTCTAGCATGGTCCTCTGACTGGAAGGGCATAGTGTTAGGATCTCACTCTGAGTTGTATGCCCCAAGGCTGGTTGTACCTCTGGGGTTACTTGTGGGAAAAGAAACAGTACTGGGCTGTGCACACTCTCTGCTGTCAGAGATAATGCCTCTCTGACTTTTAGGTGCTTCCCTCAATGCTGATGAAGTCAGTTCTGGTGAGGGCAGGCCAGGAGAACAGCATGGGGCCTGCCCTGCTCTCTCTTTAGCTTTGTGTAGGACTCAGGCTTCCTTTGAGCCCAGTCTCACACGAAGGAGGAAAACCCAGCCTGGGAAACTCATCGTTTTGATTGCACTTAGGTTTGATGCCTGTCTAATTTTTTGGATGCTTTTCCTGCTCAGCATCCTCAGACACCCATTTCACTGGTTCTCTCCAGGGCTCTCAGTCACATTCACTGGAAGAGGCAGGAGAGAGTGTGCTTACTTCATTTAACCAAATTGGCAAGCTTCTTTAGTACTATTATTTAAAAAAATTCTTTGTTTTTATTTTTATATGTGTATGTGTGTACTGTGTGCTGAGTGCAAGTGCACTCATGTCCTGCAATGTCCGAGAGGACAGAAGAGGGCATCAGAGTCCCTAGAACTGGGGTTACGAACAATTGTTAGACACCATGTGGGTGCTGGGATTTGAGCCTGAG